AAATTTTTATAAATAAATTTTACTATTAAGCCAAATATAAAAAACTTTAATCTAAAATTTTTTTTATTAAGTAAATCAGTCTTGGGCTTCTAACAAAAGTTGTAGAGCTAAGGGTATGACAATGTAGAGTAGTGGTTTAGTTGTCATCTCCCAAGCAGTAGATCTAGAGTTTGATTCCTATTGGGGATATTTTTCGAAAAATAGGCTTGTATTATAGTAATATTTATTTGACAATCGGTTGGGTATATTATCTGTAATCTTGATACCACCATCTCAAAATAAAAGCTTTAGGGCGATCCAAATTCAAAGAACTAGAATATTTAAAACCTATTTGGTAAAACTTGAGCTAGGAGTAGTGAAGATCTTCAATGATATTATAGAAAATCGGAACCAGAGACCAAAGAACCAGACAAACAACCCTGAGGCAAGAAAGGGTCTACCAACCTGGCTACCAGAATCACATCGAAGAAAAAAATCTGATGCTACGAAATTCAGAACCAAGGGAAGTAAAACCAAAAGGCACTTAGAGCCTAGGTATAACAACCTTTTTGGGCTAACTAGTTTAATAGTTTGGAAGAGATTGGTATAAGGGCCAGTTGGAAGTGAATATCAGAATCAGAATAAACCTTATAAAGGGAAAGAAGTAGGTAACAGTAGTGATGCAGAAGATCGCAAGTTCTAGTTCTCAGATTGGGATGTATATTATCAAAAAACTCAGATTATATATATGTGAGACATGGACCACTCTGGTAGGTTTATCACGAGAATAAAGTAGTCTTAAGGGGTCTTAGCAGCAAGAATTTTTCTGGGGAAAGCATCTGACGGTGCTAAGTCGATCAGAGGGTTTAAATAGGGTATTCACAAGTAGATCCTAGGTATGGCAATTGATGAGTAACTATAGATAAAAATAGATATAGTGAGGTCTTTAATTAGACAATGACTAAAGTTGTATATATAACCAATTGTATTCTTGTTAATATAACAAAGTCAAGAGTTGCCTATTCGGCATCTTGATAATTGAACTAAAAAGTTAATAAACCATGCCAGACCCCAAAGTGGTTACCTTAATATTAAAAAAAAAAAAGTTGTAGAGCTCATCAAGACATATTTAATAGTAGTAAGAATATTAAAATTAACCTTGTAGTTTTTAAAAAATCTTTAAAAAACATTTTATTAACATATAAAATTTCTTTAAAAAAAATTAATTTTTTTTAAAGAAATTTTATATATTAGGCTATACAAACTTAATAAATCAGTTCTTATAATATAAAATTTTTGAAAGTAATCTAGCAACCTGGTTTTTAATTTTATTTCCAAAAAATTTTATATATAAAAAACATATAAAATTGTTTATAAATTTTTTAGAAAAACTCACCTGGATAGTAAATATACTTAAAATTTTTTTTAAAGTTTTGTAAAATTTGACCTGGCCAAGTTATAAGAACTAATTTATTAAGTTTGTATAGCTTTAGTGAAATATTTTTTAAAAATTTCTTAAGAACTACAAGACTGATTTTAACATTCTTACTATTTTTAGATTCATTTTGAGATTACTTTAGCCATGGTGAAAAATGTTCGGTTATATACTGACAATTATCTGACTTGATCCAATCAAATTCAAGCCCAAGATAATCAACTTTGTCAATTTGCATATTATCAATTTCATTATTGTTATAAATAAACTTTGAAGTCTTGTAGCAGTATTTGGTTATAGTAGGTTGTAATACAGGGGGTAACAAAAATATTTTCACACCTAAAGACTTGGCTTATAACTTAAAAACTTACTAATTAATCTATGTTCTTGACTTGACTATATGAAACCTTATCTCTTGATG